CATCTAGGGGGGGGGGGGGGGGCGCAAAGTTGGCCCGACTCGAGGCGCGACGGCGGCATAAAACACCGACGCCAAAGTTCCCTCCCTCTAGTGCGCGCAACGAAAAATACAACCATAAAAATACGCCGCGACGCAGTCAGTCATCGAACAGTTCGCGACAAAATCGCGTAGAATTTTCCTTTAGACTTTTCAAGATTGGGGAAAAGTACTATATCTCCCACGTGCTACACATTTTTAGTAATCTGGTCATAAAATATTTTTACCACCACATAACATATCCATTAGTTTGTATGTTTGTTGAGCATGACACCACTGTAATGACACAATGCGTGCGAGTTATCTTGTTGTTTCTATTACATGTTTCTATCAAGCGCCAGAAAGTAAGATTATCAACTGTACATTTGGATGCTCAGAAGAAAAAAAATGGCATGTCATAGCGTTTATCTTCAATGATTACTAAATATTGTAACTTGCTGTTTCTCGTATTTTTAATCTGCGGTATATTCTCGTGCTTTTAAGCGTTGCTATTACGTTGTGTATTGGGCGGCGTTTTTCGTCCTCTGCATGAACGTTGCAGACGCCATTTGACAGCTTTCGCCATCTGTAGGTGCACCATGCGTTTGCCCTGTATGTATACTATTTTTTCCATACTAGCAGAGTCACGTTGAGGCAATATTTTTAAATATTCTGTGCTGTTAAAGATGGCACATGTTAAGTATTTTTCTCTAGTTTAGAAAGAATACAAATTCTTTGTACGCGCGTTGTGTCACTGACGCCTCAGCTGCGCAGGGACTGTCTTTCTTTGCGGACGTTTCACAAGTGAAACCTACTGCTTAATAATATTTTGTATATGTTACAATTCAATATTGTTGAAATAAACGTTTCATAACCATATCTCGTCTCAGCACTACAATATGAGCGTAAGGACATCGGTGAGAGTGCGTTGATAGAAGGGGGGGGGGGGGGGGGCGCTCTGGGGAAACCTCGCCCCCCCTAATGAAAAATCCTGCGCACGCCTATGCTTAAATTATCTTTCTGACGGTCGTCTTCGGCAACTCCGCCTTCAGGAGTTGCCGCGCTTAGTTTCGACGACTAGGTTGGGAGACAGGCCCTTCCGACGGGACCTACGAAGTGGCGACGCCGGACGTCGCGGCGACGGCGAACGGGATCCCCGGGGGAAAGCGGGTGCTGGTGACGGCGGACGATGCAGGTACTCCTCGTTGTCTCGCGGTCGTTCTGCGCTCCTTGGGCGGGGGCTTTCGGTGCGAACCCACGAAGCCCAAGCTGCCGGTAAGGGCATCGCCAGTGCACATGGGCGGCTTTCCCGTAGTGTTGAGCGTCGGAAGGGCCGTTCGCCACACGTCGATTTTTCTCGGCAAGGCTCGCTCTGGCCGGACGGACTTGTTCTTCCCGGCGTCGAGGATGCTGCGGCGTTGAATTGTCCAGTTGGGATGGCGCCTGGTACCGACGGGTAGCAGGCGGCTGTCATCGGGCCTTGGTGGCGTAACGTCGGCTTCTCTGGCGTCACCACGGGGATGGGAGCCTCTGGTTGGAGCGCACAATGAGCCTCTTGGCGGACAGCCTCGGCGACGGAGAGGGATGCCGGAGGACTGGCGACAGGCAGCAACTTTTGGAGTTCCTCCCGGACGACGTCGCGGATCATACCTGGCGCAGGTTTTCGATACCGACACCGTCGACGTCAAAGCGAGATGTTTGGGAGACGGTAAAGGTCGATGCACCGGCGAGTCTTAAAAAAGGACCGGCTCTGGACGAGCGCTCGCTCGATCTCTATCGGATGTTCCCGGGATATCCTAAAATATTCTGTCCAGTGGAAATTGGCTCAGATTAGTGCTTTGACTGGTTTACGACATATCTGGGCTAGAGTAGAACGGATTCAGGCATGCCATCCGAATATCCGAAATCGGCCTGCAGAGGGATTCCATTTCGGATGTCCAGCGAATATGCGATTTTGTTCGCTTTGACGTTCTGTCGGATAAACTGGGGATGTTCGTCCGACGTATACGGATGTCTCACGAATGTTTGATATATCTGAATCGGATGTCTATCGGACGTTCACGGGATATCCGAAGAAATTCTGCTCAGTAGAAATTGGCTCAGATTAGTGCTTTTACTGGTTTACAACATATCTGGGCTAAAGTAGAATGAATTCAGGCGTACCATTCGAATACCCGAAATTGGCCTGCAGAAGGATCCCATTTTGGGTGTCCGACAGACATGCAAATTTGTTACCTTTGGCACTCTGACGGATGTCCTAGGGACGTCCGTCGGACGGCTACGGATCTTTTGGGGACGTCCGAATATCTTGAGCGGATATCTATCGTATGTCCAATGAACATCCAGTGGTTTGTTGTGAAGGTTCCAGCTGGAACAGCAACAGGTCCAGGTGGCATTCCAATCAGACTAATAAAGGCCTTAGGTAAAGCAATGAAATTAGAGCTAAAACAAGTGATAGACCAAATAATTAAAGGGGGAGGTACCCAATTATTGGAAACTAAGCAAGATGAGACTAATACATAAAGGCAAAGGTGATAAAGATCATATCGTCCAATAGTAACTTTAGTCATATACAGGCTAGCTATGCAGATAGTGAAAAGAAGAACGGAAGAGTGGGCAGAAAGCTCACAGATACTGGGTGAGCTCCAAAATGGTTTCCGAAAAGATAGAAGGCTTGAAGATAACTTATTTGTAGCTACCCAATGCATAGAAATAGGAGCGACAAACCATATAGTATATCATTTTTAGATACTAAGGGGGCATACGACAATACGAGTCAGGAAAAACTCTGGGAACTGATGAGGAGGTGTAAGCTAGATGCAGATTTGATTAGATTCTTGAAAGAGGTGCATGCAAATAATAAGGTGGTTATAAAGTGGGAGGCAGAAACTAGAGAACCTGCAGCAATAGAAAGAGGGCTTGGACAGGGTAGTCCTCTGTTACCACTGCTCCTAATGGTATATCTGAGTGAATTGGAAAAAAAGGTTAGAGCAGAGCAATTTGGGATTTGGTCTGATATATGTTGAGAGAGGGAGTAAAGTAAACCAAGTCGTAAGTGTACTGATGTATGCAGACGACATTGTACTTATAGCAGATAGCCGGGAAATATTGGACAAACTAATTGGAACATGTGGAGGGGAGGGCGACAAGCTTGGTCTGAACTTTAGTAGAGAAAAATCTGGAGTGATGTTTTTTAATGACGAAAAGGGGGACCCGCAGAGAACTCAGAACTTAGAAATAGACCATGTAGATAAGTACATATATCTGGGGTTCTGGATGAGACAGGGAAAGAAATATATAGGGGAACTTGGGGAAAATATAATGGAAAAGGGGAAAAGAAATTCGGCTATTACGAGTAGTTCAGGGCATTTGGAAAGGAGTCTTAGTGCCAGGTTTGTCATTTGGTATAACGCGGTGTTGTGCTTGCGGTCAAAGGTTGAGACAAGCTTGGAGGTCAAACAGAGAAGTGCGGGCAGGTTGGCACTGGGTGCGCATGGGAACACGCCAAATAAAAGGGTACAAGGGGGCATGGACTGGTCATCTTTTGAGAGTAAAGAGGCTATCATCAAAGTGAAATCCGACCAAAGGCTAACAAAAATGGAGGACGCACGATGGGCGAGGAAGGTGTACAAGTATTTATACGTGAAGAGTTTGAATACAAAATGGACGAACCGAACGAGAAAGCTAAAGTTTAAATATCTGCCTATTAGGGAGGAGACTGAGCTGAACACAATGGTAGATAAGGGCGTAAAACAAGCCGAAAGGAAATTTTTGAGGGAAAGGATGCAAGGAAAATCAGCTTTGACAATTTGTAGGTCACATAAGCAGGAAATAAAAAAATAAGTTTTTTTTTTCTTATAATTTACGGGGTAGTTCCTTACTATTTGAGGCTAGAACGTGGTTTTTAACAACCAAAACGTAGGGCTAAAATCGAGAAAATGAACAGATTATGTGTTTTGTGCCAAAATGAGAACGAAACAAAGGAGAATCTGGTTTTAAAATGTGCGGGGCTTCGTCCTGCTCTCCCGGAGGGGGCAGCTGATTTGGCGGGAGCGCTAGGGTTTGCGGACGAGGATGGAAGAATGGAAGGAAAAATGAAAGACGTTTACAAATCTCTGTAATTCGAAACTAGAGCGCAGCACTTGAGGAGGAGGAGGGAAGGGTACGGAGGAGAGGGTATGCCCCTTCTCCTCCTCCATACAGTCCCCTCCCCTCCCCCTCCTTTCCTCCTACTCTCCTTATGCCGCTGATCAAATTGTTCATAGGTGACGTGACACGAAGTCGTGACGTCCTTTTCCCCGCTACTGTGTTGGTGTTGAGGTCACGTGACGTCAATTTCCCCGCTACTGTGTTGGTGTTGAGGTCACGTGACGTCAATTTCCCCGCATAATTTGGTGGGAAAACTTCCCCGCTAAATTTAGCGGAAAAAATGCTCCCGCTAAACTTGGCGGAAACATTTGTCCGCTAAATTAGCAGAGAAATCTTCCCGCTCATTTTGGCGGGAAAACGTCCCAAAATGTAACGCGCGCGGTTCCGCCGACGCCGCTCAACCCGGAAACGGGTGCCTGCGCTCTAAAACGTGTTACGATCACAAAGAGGATATTAGAAAACGGGTGGATACAGCTAGGGAAAATGATATAAGGAAGAACAATTAGCGCAGCTGGGGGACAGGAGAGACAGAGGAATATTATGTGGGGACTCCCTCCGCTCTCGCGTGGCTGCGGCCCAAAGTCTCACACTTGTCCCCCACTGGGTTTGGTTCAAGGAGGAACACCGACAAGGTTGACCAGAGGAAAATTGGCGACTCCCTCGCCCGGGGGAGGAGGCGCAAAAAAGGAAAAAAAATGCTTATTTATTTATTTATTTGTTTTTTTGCCTAAATTTTTAAAGGTTTTTTTTTATATTTTACTTGTCTAGGAGTGCTAGGTGGCGCAAGCTACCGCCCGATATAAAGGGAGCAATCAATATTCATTCATCTATCCATCATTATTCCATAGAAGTATGAAATGGCGGCGGCTAACAAATCCGATACTTCTGGCGGCCAAATATCTTCGAATAGTCCTCATCAGCTGCAGATTACAGACTTCTTTTCTGCCGACGGAGATGTATCGGGAAGTACCAATACGCACCGGACCATGTGAGTTTGACTCATGTTGCCAAACGTTTAAGAAGAATGCAAAATGTCCCAGAAGCCGGGACTCGTCATGACAAACTACACCGACTTTATATGACAATTTAATCAGACGTTTCGTCTCCTAGAAGAATGGATAGTTGGGCGAGTCGGCAGGAAATTCATCGTGGAAACAGTGCGAAAAGACGAGGACGTAGAAAAAACACGAAACGCGCGCTGGCGTCTCATACAGGAGACATCAGTGAAGCTAAGTTGGCGGGAATAAGATAAGAGTAACACCAAACAGAAACGCTTTTTAAAGAGGTCCGTGTACGCTTCACGAAGGGGGCCGCGTTTGGAGGTCGGTTCGCCATTTCTTTTCTCCTGTATCCGTTCTTCCTTTGTTCAGCTGGTTCCACGTGAGATGTGTTCTAACCTAGTAGCTCAGCTCATTCCTGTAATAAATGGTCATCTAGTTCCGTCTCTGCCCTAGTGGCATGAGTGGCCTTCGCCTCGCCCCGCTTGTGTTCTTTCGTATGGGGGGGAAAGGGGGGGGTTTCCTAGTTTTGAAACAATGTCCCATAGTTTAAGATGAGGTTTGAAAGCTGCTCGAATGTCTAAAGGGGCGAGGGCGCTGCGAATAGACTCAGAAATACCTTTAATATTCTGAATTGTTACTTGTGTCCAGCCTAACATGTCTTCCAAAGACACAATCATGATGCAAATGAAGGTTATTAAGAATACATAGTTCCCACGTGACGTCACTTCCTCTACTTCCGCCCGCCGGCGCCATCGCCAGGTACTGAGAAGCAGATGCGGACGCTGCCACCGCCACATATGCGCCGCTCAATTGCTACTTCGCTACGGAATTTGTATCGCCTGTACAGCGCGATGGCGAAAGCCATTCGCCATAAGTTCTGCCCTTTTGAAGAGCTTTTGGGCCCCACACGGCGTACGGCATCGATCCGTACACGCTATGCGTCGCCGACGCATAGCGTATGCTTTGCGTCAGCGCGGACACCGCTCCAGATGCGGACGTGCAGCCAGCTATGACGCATGTGGACATAATTAACTACCTGGTTTTGTCAACGAACTATGTGTCGCTGCAACAGATGAAGGCCTTCAAGGCCCTGAATGCCCACAACTATTTCAAGACTAGATGGGTGAAGAGCCTGACAGCGATACATCTCCCACCGAAGCGTATCGTCGTGCTGAGCGAGGCAAGTTGACAGGCAATAAAACAAGCGTCTTTATGAGAGCCGAAGGTTTGCCTGCAAACGAACAGGTGTGTCCATACTTGCCGCATTAAACTTCGCAGCATCTTAGCTGGAGAGGCTCGGCGCCACAGCTGCAACACCATCGACACAAGTGTGCTACAAACACTGCACAATTACAGAAACGCTGCAAGAAAGGTAAAAGCACATCCCTGCAGCGTGACGTTACCAGACACCGAACACTGCCCCGCGGCCGCTATGGCAATGCGCACAGGATGCGAACAGAAGCCTCCAGCAATCTATGCACAGTTGAGCAACATATTTCTCAACGGTAATGAAGTGACGATCGCAGATATGGACACTTTTGATGTGCGCAAGCAAGCCAGAGGCTTCAGCGTTTCTTGGACAGCAGCTTTGTACGCTCACACTGTCGCATTATTCCCTTTGGCAAACGGTGCACCGCTGCATTTGGCTCCGTGTTACTTGCTTCTGCTTTGGCAGCCGAACATTGCGCACATCGGCATGACGGTACCACTGCGACCACGATTGCACACCAGAAAAAGAAACATGCACTGTGTGCGCCGTAAACGCTGTAGCGAAGCAGCCAACGCTGTAGCGGCCAACATTGCCGGCGCTGATCCCGAAAGCGGAACTGTGTCAGTACCTGGCAATGGCACTGACATATCCCATAAGCCCTGGCTGTGACGTCCGTGAAAACTATGTAGTATATAAGTAGCGTTTCCTTAAAATTAGAGATTAGTTTTCGTAAAACAAGCAAACTGTAGACACCGTGCTCTTATTGGAAGTGTGCGACAAGACAGTAGCGCCAAAATGCAGTGTCTAGATGAATTATTTTACATAGACCATGGCCGGACAGGCATAGTCATCCAGTGTAGCAGCCAACCTTAGTTTATAGTTAATGTCAACTTGCCCAAGCACTCAAAAACACAGTTGGCGCAAACTTTTTTCTTTTTTTTTCGCAAGACCCAAAAATTTAGAAGACAGATCCCCTCCATGTGCTGGCGAAAAATGTGCCAATCATCTCAATCACAGTATGTCTACTTGATCTGCCAGCGAGCAAAGAGCAATATGGAGAAAAAAAGTAGTTAGCACATAAATTTTATCAATTACTGGCACTGGTGAATGTCGTGCGGTAAGGACTTCAGAAGCGTTGAACACACAGACGCTTCATAGGGGCACCTTTCAGCGCAGATAAACGAAAAGGTATGCTGCCTCCGCTCACAATTGTGGGACTCACAAATCCAAACTTCGATCAACTCCGGCAGGTTGAATGATGGAAAATACATCCGGAGCAAGCTGGACAAGGGTAGGTTTCGAATGTCAAGGTGCCAAATCTTTACTCCGTGGCTAAAGGAAGAAAAACTGCCGCAGGGAGGTGCAGAAGTGGAGGAGACGCTGCGGGCATATTAGAAAAAGTCGGAGCAGGCAGTGCTTCGCTATGCGGCGTGACGCGGAAGCTGTCACCGGTGGCACTGCTAAGGCGGAGCGGTGCGCCCCCCATAGGCGTCGCACGTTTTCAATAAGACTGTACGGCCGCCCATTTGGTCACCAAATTGAAGATGTCGTTTGATCCAAGTAGCCATATGAAAGTGTCACTTAAATTTCAGACCTATCATACGATAGGTACAAAAGTATTTACTACAGAATGGAATTAGTTGTGACTCTGCAATAATGGACCCCTTTTTTCCCTGTCCCCTTCCCTAGCATCGGGGCTCTGGGCAACGAGGCACTTCGAGAGTATGCTGCCTACATTAACCAGCTGTGCGGTGGCAAGTCAACTCCTGGCACGGTCTACAGCAAACTCCGCGTTACAAGAAGCAGCGTGACGTCGAGAATAATTGGCCAGTACCTCGCCTGCACCGGTGGCGAGACCACATGCCATCTCCTGCAAGATCTCACAATCTGGAATGAATTCCTTATGCTCCTAAATGTAGAGCTGAAAGAGTTGACACCCAGGAAGCTGGGAGTGGTTTCCCTAGGCAGCAGCTCAAGGGGGGAATGGAGGAACTCTGATCATTACCACTCTTCCATCCTACTCCACTGGCTTCTCAAAGAGCACCACTGCATCAAGACCCTCCAACTCCAACAAGCGGTCGACCAAGAGAATTCCCAAATCCTCTTCGATGCTCTGCGTCTTAATAGTGGCCTGACTCGCCTCAACTTGAATGATTGTGGCTGGCCTGGAGACTCTTCAATGCAGTTGATTACTGCGGTCCTGACAATGACTCAGCTTGAAGAACTTGAGTTAACGAAAGTGAATGTGACCAGTGATGCATTAGTCTATCTTGCAGATGCTCTTGAAGGAATGAAGCATTTGAAGTCACTTGCTATTTATTTCATTGATGGGGCTGGACATTACATGAAACCTCTTTTGCAGGGCTTGAGCAAGAATGTGACTGTCAAAAGTCTGCAAGTCGATTATTATTGTTTTGCCCCTGGCAATGACAAAGTATTTGGAGAGTACCTTGCACATAATGCAATACTAGAGAACCTGATTATTGAGCACGACTACTATGGCTGTCATTACGCAGTAGTTAATGTAAGTGCCCTGGCCAGTGCATTAAAAGTGAACAAGGTCTTGAAGAAGCTACGCCTCGGTGGTTTTGACCATGAAGTGTCAAGAATAAAACAGTTTGTTGAGGCAATGACCAAGAACAGTACACTCCAACACTTGCACTTTTCTGGTCTTCATTGGGACTTCGATGCAAACATTTTTGCTGAGCTCATTGAAAAAAACACTGGTCTTTTGGAACTTGAGGTTTCAAATTCCATTCCCTGTTCCGTCGCCCCAGTAGCAGCTGCTATTGCCCAAAATGTGTCCATGCGAAAGCTTACCCTTAAGTTATCGGTTGCAACCCATGAAAAGGCAAAACTATTCCTTGAGGCGTTGGCAAGCAACAGGACTCTTGAACTAGTTACTATTGGTGATGTCGATGAGACATCAGTCTTGGACGTATATAAACTCTTGCAAGAAACTGGAACTGAAGCACGAGTGGAGTTTTGGGCAGCTTTTGAGGAGCCCTTGTGTCTTGCAAGCACCCTGAAGGACTGTCCAAAGCTGACCGACATCAGTTTCGAATCATGCGAAGATCTTGAACCGCAGCTATTGTTAGGTGGATTGGAGCAACTCGCCTCTTGCCGCCATATCGTTAAGCTCTGGCTTGCATTAGATGAAGACATTGGCAGCGATTGTGCAAAGTCCCTCGCTAGCCTCCTTTCCTCAACAAAGACTTTGAAGGAGTGCCATCTAAGACTTGAGACGACTACACAAATAACAGACATTCTTCTGGGTGGCCTGTCTTGCAACAGAAGTATCTCATTAATGTTTCTTGAGTACTGGTCCTTCCGGCACTGTCACGTTGGCTTGCTTACAGCAATGTTGGAAGGAAACATGGTATTACGGGATATGACTCTGGAGTCTTCTGATGACCAGACGTCCTTGTCGGTACTAGAAATGCTACCGCATTGTCTCCTCAAGAACTACTCGTTACTCAATGTGGGTATGAATATGTGCCTCGAGTTTAAAAGATGCATGTTTGAAGTCCGGGACATCTTACGAAGAAACCTCTCATTTTTGAACCGTGCAGCAGAGTTTGTGATGGGCCTGCACAGCAAGCATTCTGCCAATGCATTTGAGTGCCTCTACGAAAGCGAGACCTTAGCTTCGAAGGTGCAAGACCTTACTTCTGAGACTGCATCTGAGGTGCAGCAGAGGATCAGAAAAACCGCAGCTTACCTGAACGTAAACTTCCTAGCCATCGTGGGTGTTGTTGCGGATACTGTGACGTGCAACAGGAGTGACCAGGTACAGTTTGATCAACTGGGACTGGACAACTGGTTGAAGATTCGCTCTTATTTGAGAGTTTCTGACATCCGAGACCAAGGTACAACAAAGTGTTCTGTAACTTCTACCAGGTGTAGCCGCAAACGAAAGTTGTGTTGATGCTGTTAAGACCCAAAGAATGACGCTTACTGTGTGCGGAAAGACCATTCATTGTGCTTTGATTCTCTTTGTAAGTATGTATTGTTAGTCGGTTTTTATGTGAACATACTGATTTTAAGGATAGCAATAAAGGTTTCACTTGAAAGAAACAAATTACTGTCCAGCCACTGCAATCAGTTAGACATACTTGTTTTCCTGCAACCACAGAACCTCCGTGTCATCACAGCTTATTGTCGAGCACAGTTTCACATTCATTTTCTCTCCAGAGAAGCAAAACTATTGCATATGCAATAGTTTTGTAGTTGTCACAAAGTGCAGATCATGAAGGTGTATGGTGGACTGTGAAAGCCTCCGGAGGTTAAAAATGTAATTTTCGACTCTGATTAGCATAGAGGGCCTTTCCACAGTGATGACATATAATCTCATATTTCTAGGTAGCAAGAATTTCTACTGTAAAACATTAGCGATGTACATGCTACTACACAAATTGATTTCTTGATTTTTCTTGTGACTCCACATGCTACTACACAAATTGATTTCTTGATTTTTCTTGTGACTCCACAGGCACATCATTTTTAAGATTAATAAAAAAAAAACCGCCTGCTTAAAAAGAGGTACCTTTTGTCTGCAATGGATGAGCATTTCATGAGATGACAGAAAACCTCTTCAGTTGGGGGGTCTGTATCATTTCGTTGAAACATCTTTTGTGAGCAACTCTTCATGGACACATTTTGTCGACACTGATGTTTCATGGACACATCAGGCATATACTCCTGCAACATTTTGTCGACAATATATATTTTTCTATACTAAGTAGTTTGAATAACTGGCTTCATTCCATTTGCTGGAAACATGCCGGAACAAAAGTAGACTTGCCCAGGCAGCTCCGATAGAGCAAAAAACAAAATCGCGAGTCATAATCCTAGCCTTTCAAACACACTGCGCTATGCGCAGACACCCCTTACTACGCTAGGCGAAACTTCAGTATGACCTCAGGCCTCGTTGGAATCCGCCAAGAGGTATCCGCAAGGTAGGCTAGCTACCATCTGGATGCCAGTGACCGAGGTGATGTGTGCAGGAAGACGCTTCCGATGAAACGTTGCAAGGTGTGTCTAGGAAACAAATGCGGGAACGTTTCAATGAAACGTTGCAGGGTTGATGAAACGGACCGTCGAGAAAACTGTTCAACAAAACTACTGTTCTTTCATGCACACTTGCTTTAAATATTGGAAGGACACTCCTCTTGGGGTTTTATTCTGCTGCAAGGCCACATACTCGACGCTGCTCAAATATGTGTAAAATGTGCCTTGTTTGCAATTCTTTTGTATGCTTGAGCATCATCAACCCAGCAATACAGGATGGAGGAGAGTAACTAGAAAACTCGGAACGTTTTGGGTGGTAGAAGCAAATATGAGATGTGGGTATGTGGCTATGCACACTATTGTTTTTTTCATTTATAGTTGGAGTGAATGGAAGGGGGTAGCCGCCCGGTTGAAAAACTTCAGCTGTTTTAGCCAAACTTCTTTATTCCTTACGCCAGATACTCTGTCCATCTGGCATTTCACTTTCAGCCTGATTGAAATTTGTTAAGTCCAGAATCTACCAGTTTTCGAAATCACTAGTTCAGGGGTTTCTGGCATGATATAAGATGTGAGCACATGCTCAAATGAGCGTGTACTTTCTCCCGACCTAGGAAGATGCCTTTTGCACCTATTGCGGCTTATCTTTTGTCCTCAAGTTTGTTCAAAAAAGTTTGCATCATCTCCTTTGGAGTCGTTTCACACGGGTCCCTATCGTTTCGTCGAAACACCTTTTGTGGACACACGGTTTGTCGACACTATGTTTCGTGGACAACGTATTGTTTTGCTAATCCACTTAAAGCTAACACGTGATTGACTGACGTGTGCTTACCCAAGCCTTAGGCCCCCGGCCTCTTTCTCTCCCCCCCTAACCAAGTGAGACGCAAAAATATTGTTGCGAAAACAGCAGTGTTGTGTTCTACAAAACGTCACAAGGTCTGTCGATGGAACGAATGCAGGAAGCCTTTCAATGAAACAATCTGTATGAAACATTCAACAAACTGATTGGCACCGGTTTCACATGGCCTACCTTGTTGCTCAGGGTTAAGGTGTTCTAAAGGGGGTGGTGTGAAAAGCGAAGGCGGAGGCTTGGTCCCGGTGCGCGCGGATGCCGCATGGTGGCATCTGCACGGAGGTTTCGCCTTGGAGAGGGGTGCTGTAAACATCTCGGGAAACGCAAAACGCAAAAAGTGCAGGCACGCAGGGGCCAGGTCAGAAAGCGGGCCCTTGCGTGCCCGCTTTCCGAGCAAGCGGTCACACAAGGGCTTGACGGCAACTTTCAGCGTCCTAAAGGGATGCTGAACCGAAATCTGGATTCCACAAAGTATGGCGGCAAAAGCGTGCAACGGGATGCCACAAACATCAAAACATCACTCATACAACGATATATCGAACGGATGACCGTATTTTTCAAGAAAAGGAGGCACATTTGACAGGTATGTTTACGTCTTGTTTTTCCAAGAAGAGTCGAGAAGGAGAGGGAACGGCCTCGCGTCTTCTGTGCCTTGCCGCCTTGAGGGGGCGAAACAAAGAGAGGAGGAAACGAAATATCTTGGGGGACGTCACGCGCGCCGTCGGCCTTGTTCAATCTCAACCTTTTTTTTCCAAAAATATGGTTGCCGATTCGAGATATCGCCTTACAAGTAGTGTTGTAGGGATTGTAGCGTCCCGCCTACAGCTTCTGCATTGTTTTCTGAAATCCAAATTTCGGTTCCCTTTAATGGTGCACAGATGTACCCACCTGTCGTCAAAATGCCTTTCGCATACGGTGGAATTTTTTTCGAGAGGCTTGTCCGCCCTGGGGATTGCGCATGCCCACTTCTGAAACATCAAGGTTTCTTGGTGCTCAAATCAGGGATATAGCTTATCCCCATCGCACCCCGGCACGAAATATCAACGTTGCATTTTTTCTTTTTCGTGGAAGGCATGACATACCACCACAAGAAAGCCGAGTAAGCACCGATGCAACCATAAGCTTGTCAGCTTCAGGAGCCACAGGTAAGGTTTTCTAGAGGGGTTCTAGGAGGAATAATTGGTGTTCTAGTACACCCTATCACGGAGCAACTGTAACGCATATGGCACCCCTAGGTACACCGCCAAATTTACCCCAAGTTGCCTCAGCACGCAGAAGGACTACACCGCCCTACGGGAAAGGTCTGTGCTTTTCACAAATCTCCTTTTCTTCATCCTGGGAATCCTTGAACTTGGTATTCTGCCAGGTGGCACTGTAGTCCTGTTGCAACTCAAGAAGTTAGGGCGAGGGAAAGGAAGGCCGGGGAAGAGGAAGTAGACAGGATGCTGGAGAGAGGAGGAGGTTTCCCCCTCTCTCCTCCAGTTCGTCTGTTTCCTCCTCTTAGGCCTTCCTTTCCCTCGCCCTACCTTCTTGAGCTGTAACTTACTACAGTTATTTTCACCAGTTGGTTGTTGAATATTTATCACGCAGCCCTGATTTTACCTACTAATAAAATATTTACTGACTTACTGAGATCCCACCCTTGTGGATTCGGTGGATTGATGTAATTTCTAGGTTCTGCAGCACGAGCTTTTACTGCTTGGACCCCTTCACGTTCTCAACCACCCCATTGGCGTTCTCCTTGTTTAGCCCGAAATCCCATCGCCACTGACATAAACAGAATGGCTGCCGGCGGGTGCATTTATGTGATTTCTGCGCGGATTTGTGTGTGCACTTTTTTTAGGTTCTTAATTTCGTGCCAAACATAGCTCAACGCTCTTGCTTCGTCATGATGCTGCCTGAAAATTCTGGCATCCCAATAGTCCCGGCTAGTTCTTGCCAACTGCTAGTCCCTGGCCTTTCCCCTGCTGGCGGCAATGGACCGGGAGACCCTAATAAGCGCCTTACAAGGTAAGTCGCATGAACGTGTCACGAGCCGGAGGGGCCGGAGGCATCCGGTTTCCGGTGATGTCAAAGCTTGGCGGCATTAAAAAAAAAAAAAAAAAATTCTGTCTTGAAATATGCAAGAGCAACACTACTATTGTAAGAGATCTGTATAGATAAGCATGAATGATAAGTTGATTACATGGACAGTGCCAAAAGACGCTTATGTTGACTAGGAACGCTTTCAGTACGATGATGCCCCATGGCAATTTGGGCACTACTGGTGCAGAATGACCCTTTCGAAGATTCAAAGATTTGAGCGGACGGAAATAGCGATTGCCATGGCAACCGAGACCGATCAGCCAATCACCTTGTGAGTCTTGTTTGCCCGCATGTCAGCATCTGTTTGTGTCCGGGCAAACAAGACTCACAAGGTGATTGGCTGATTGGTCTCGGTTGCCATGGCAATCGCTATTTCCGTCCGCTCAAATCTTTGAATCTTCGAAAGGGTCATTCTGCACCAGTAGTGCCCAAATCGCCATGGAGCATCATCGTACTGCTTCTCCTCCTCCTGTTTGTGTCCGGCTAGCAGGCAGGGAAGGCAATGTGTTACTTTCCCAAGGTCGAGTGACTTTATCCTGAAATACTCTTGCACTGCACGTGCGCTCATGCAGGGCGAGAGCGAGCTCCATAGCTGAAGCTACGGAACTCGGACTTGTAGCTTGTGCCAAATACTTTACTACGGGGAATACATTCCACTCCTCTCAAATACAGTAGCCTCGGCGTGGACAGGTTTTCTGGGCTTGGCGAGAGCCATCTATGGTCGGGGATATCTCGGCTATCGGATGATGGTCGTTCTACATACAAAATTCATTGTTGTGGAAATGCTCGAGACACGTGCCGCGCGCCACTTCTAGGAAGAACGTGGAGTCACAAATCTAGCTCAGTGCTGCGCCAAATACTTTGATGTGCTGTGCCGTCATGATCTTCCAAAGGGTTGCACGTGCCTCGTGCATCGACGCACCTTGCGCTACTTTTGAAACATGGAAGGCCTTTAGGTGGAATTGGAGGCTTCATCGTCGTAGCCGCCGCGGACCTCCCCTCCATCAGGGCTGGATTCGGCCCTGTAGGCGTTCTGTCTAATGCAAATGAGCGGAGTGGAATGTATTCCCCCTAGTAATGTTGGCAAGGCGCCGCCGCCGTAAAGTGACATTGAAAATGTGAGTTTGTGTATACCAACTCAACTCTCTGAAGTCATGCCGCCGTGGCGGCACCGCAGTCGGCATTGCACATGCGCAGGCACTTTATCTTGCGGGAATCTGGTTCCTGCGCACGCGCAGGGCCTACGTGGGAAAATTTGGGCTTGTTTGTGAACCGGGAGGCTACGCTTCTAAATAGAAAAGGAGCACGGCTCGCCAGCCCAATTTTTGTTTCACTTCTACCACAGGTGATACTAAATAAAAGGGAAGCAGACAACACTGAGAACGGTAGCTTTTATTTGCCGCCAGTATAGAAGTTTGGACAGCATTGCCAAAGAACATGCAAGTGACTGTAAACATTGGCCTCAGTGTTTGAGGCAATCATGCCCTTCACAGGTCAGTGCAAAAATTGCATCTGCAAGGCGAAGCGTAGAAATTAGCAGCGTGCCATAGATCACGGTAACTTTATGCGGACATGTGTTTGCTCTCCTCTTGTTTGCAAAATTTCTATAAGTTTAATTTATACTTACATGAAGTCAGCCTTGTTCAGTGTTTAAAAAAAAGCTGAAACACATTAAAAAAAAAAAAAAGAAACGAGTTAGAGGAGAATTTTGGTGTATTTTTATTCCGTGAATCTGAATATCACGTTCGTTTTCACCGATGTTGTAACTAAACGCGAAAAAACCTTTGACCAGTTGTGACGTCATATTAGGATCTTTTGGCCGCCAAGCATGTGTCGCTCATGTGGCCAGCACGTGCAGTTGCAAGCTTGCCAGGTATATTCCCCCGCACTGACACCAGTCGTGACGTCTCTTTTTGACCTTTTCGAAAATATCAAGAGAGCGCATGCATGGCTTTGATAGATGTTGTAGATGCACGAGAGCGGAGACTCCAAAAACTCCTAATACGACGTCTCGCACCGGGAAGGGGTGACCTCAGCGGTACTTTGAAAAATAATTTCTACAGCCTCCGTGCGGCAAATTAAAAAATAATCTAGATATTCGTATTCCTGGAGGCCGAACGAAGATGATAAAAGTGTTTTTCCTATACCACATGATTGCTTCAGTTTCCCTTTAAAGGGGTATGGAAACAAAACATTCGCCCTTATTTCTTTGCCTAAATATATTTTAGTGTATACAAATCAGGCCTCTACAGAAGTGCGAGGGATTGGCAGGGAATCCTACATTGAGTAAGCTATGCTGGGCTGTGTCAGCAAGCTTCTTAGGGCCGTTCCTGTGTTGACAAAGATGACGGACAGGCAGCCGTCCACTTCAAAAAGATTGTTTGCTTTGTTGGACGGATCAATTGTTTGCAAGCAGTGTGGTGTGTCGACTATCGTAAGACGTTGGTGCGCTGGACCACCAGTTTGCAAACGAGGAGGAACTACCGAAGTTGTCTGTATCGCTCATCTGTCTTATTCCAAGCTTGTGCTGCAATAAGTTTTGTAGTAAAGACTTTACTACGAAAGGAGCGCAAAGGCGCTCAAGTAGTATGTGGACAAAACAACGGCGTGGCTTGACCAAATAAACATATTGCTCGATTCAGATCTCACTGCAAGCGAGCCAGTGCAGCTGACTGATGTTGTTATCATAGCAATATTCTTCATTTTGACAAGGAGCTTTACATGCAGAACCTTAGGCAGCCTACAGCGCAAGCACTCCGCAAACGCATTGGTGACTGTGGAGATGGTGCAGTTAACGCGGTCATGCGGTCATTGAGTCCCTGGATACCTCAACAAAGCAAGGTTGTAACGTGCTAGCACCACCAAGTGGCAAAGCTCGTAACTATGGTATACGTGGTCCTGCCAGACACGATGACGTCTTTGGGCACGCCAGATCTCCCGAAAAGCACCGCGCGCTCTTCGGTGGCTGATTTTGAAGTACTAGCCAAGATCCAGCATATTTAGATAGAAAAGTATAGCCATTGGCTCGAAATATGAGGGTGTGATTATCATTTACAGTTGCTATTGATTCTATTTTACTTATTTCTGAATGTTTTGCATATATTTTAGGTTTCGATTAAGCATCCCCTTAACGTTCTGTTCAGCCACGATGCACACCGACATGGGCATCGACCAACATTCTACTCGGGCAGTCGGGAGTAATCAATTGCTTCTTCATACCTCATAATCTTTATGCAGCTTCTGCAGGAGACACGTCTCATGCCAGTTCATTGGGGAAATCAAAAGTTCCACTGCAAGTCACACTTATACGAACAGCGAGATGACATCTGCGTTATCAACACATCTTCACACACCTGGTGAATGCACTCTAACCTTCTCAGATAGTGTTTTTGACAACCTGTACTTAATCAGAAAAAGAATGCTAGCAAATACTTTACTAGGGGGAATACATTCCACTCCTCTCAAATACAGAACCCTCGGCGTGGACAAGTTTTCTGGGCTTGGCGAGAGCCATCTATCGTCGTGGAGGTCTCGGCTATCGAGCGGTAAATGATGATATTGATTATGGTTGTTCTACATACCACATTCATTGCTGTGGAAATGCGCGAGACACGTGCCGCGCGCCACTTCTATGAATGACATGGCTTCTAAACTCTAGCTCAGTGGTGCGCTAAATATGTAGCTAAATACTTTGCTGCGCTGTGCCGCCATGACCTTCCCAAGGGTTGCACGTTGCACTTGCCTTGTGCATCGACACACCTTGCGCTACTTTTCAAACATAAAGGGGCTTTAGGTGGAATCTGAGACGACACCGCCGCGGCTGCCGCGAACATCCACGTGCAATTGCGCGTGAACTGACGTGGACCTCCCCTCCGTCAGGGCTGGATTCGGCGCTGTAGGCGTTCAATCTGTCTAATGCAAATGAGCAGAGTGGAATGTATTCCCCCTAATAAAATATTTGATGCTAGCATCGAAATGCAAACATATCATAGATGTTTGTGTTTTATTAGTGAATAATAAATCAACCAGTCATCATAATTGCATGCATCCCTCATACATACTGGTTTTAGTGTCTATAAGAAAATTGATAGGATACACCCAATAAGCTTATATACTCTATCTCGCTAGTTGGGCGCAGCATTGCCAAAGGTATGGGGGCAAGAGTGCAACACTAGCTGTTCAAGAGGAGGGAAAGGAGAAACTGCCCTCCTTTGTGTACCCCCAATGTCGCCATTCTCCCCCTGGAAGATTAGCCCTTCCCTCAAGATTTGTACAAAAACTGCTTTCCCCTCTCTCTTGCCCATGGCTTCTGCAGTTCTGCGCCAAACTACGAAGATGGAGTATAGACGCAGCCTCTTTTTGTGGGCGGTGGCAAGCATTCCATTCAGTTCAAATAAAGCTATAACCCATGTATCAAGGAGCATGCTGCAATTGCAATTTCACGCACTGCCTGTGCTGGCATCTGCAGCAGCAACCATTCTAAAGCAAAAATCTAAAACAAATTTCATTTGGCACATCTTTTTGTCGGCGTCTTATTTTGGTTATTTACTTTGAGCCTTCTATACAGATAAGTTGAGCGCGTATAGCTACGTTCACTGTATTCTCCTTGCTGGTCGGGTAATTTGGCGAGAGGTTTATTGCTTCCAGTAGTGTTTCATCCAGACGAAATGCTCCCAGTTAAATTGTCTGTGGTCCTGGGCAGAGCCGTATATAGATAGAGTTTGGTCAATGGGAGGAGCGAGCAGAGAGCCAGGGTGTGCACCAGACGCAGATAGAGGGCTGGACATGCTTTCTTGGCCAACCAGAAGACGAAAATTATACCCTAACGGTGGTAGCGAGAAACTTTTTTTAATAAGAGCGTAAGAGTTAAATATAGTAACGCTTCATGGTTGAAAATATGGTGCACATGATGTTTCGATTAGGATCATGCAAAAGGATGGAAGAAATGCGGCGCCTGGTGTACGGACTACATGCCGTGATCTAAGTATCACGTGCACCATATTTTCAGTTGCCGCGAGTTACTCTGACACACTTATTAATTCTGTTTCTCGCGACCACCGCCAGGGTATTATTCGCTGCTTCTGGTTGGCCACATTCGAATTTGTGAATGCGCCGTGGAAGACACCCAGCCCGCTTACGGCCAATGGCGCCTTACCTCCTATACTTACCAATGAATGGCCAAACTCTCTCTATAAAGTCCTCGCGAACTCCTCACAACACAAAACATTACACCCGAAACATCAACAAAACAGTCCCTGAAGTCCCATTTTATATTTTACTGATGCGACGTTTTCGATTTTTTTTTTTTTATGCTTATTAGGTTTCTCGCTGTAGTATTTTTCTTATGTGACCTTGTTGTATAGTATGGATGTATGGTTTTTTTTTTTTTTTTGTGCGTTATGATGTCTGCAATTTCATCACCTTATGTTTTACTTGTCTAGGTATGTAGGCATGTATGTGATGTATGTATGTGTCTATGTATGGCGTGTTGCATGTATAGTGAGTTATTTATGCTGATTCACCAGTTATAATATTTGCGTTATCATTACTTGATTATTACTTGACCCGGTATATATATTTTTGTGCGTTTATGTCTGTATTATTGTCACTCTACCTCTTCGTCTGTTAGTCTTTAAATGTTCTGCTATGCTTTGAGTGATTATTTAGTTTGAATTTTATTGTGTACTCTATGTCAAGTGCTGGGGGGCAGGGGCCTGTCAAGCTGCAACTGCAGCTTTTTTTCCTGCTCTCCCACTCCTTTGGAGTGAAAATAAACGATTATATTATTATTATATTATATATACGGCTCTGATCCTGGGTAAAGAAATGAATGCACCACTGCCATAAGTTGTGAGGATATCTATATTACAGAGGCTGTGCTGCAGGCTCTAGTTTCTAGCCATAGCTTAATGGAGGTTTTGAAAGCAAGCTTTGTAAGATTCAGCTGCAACAAAAAGTTGCTATAGTTGCGTGCACTTCCAGCTATAATTCATGCAGATTGGTGAATGTGGCCTATTGGCATTAATTCCGGGTGGGGAGGACAACCTATGTGAGTGTCAAATTATGTTGCTAATATCATTGTATGATCCCACTAAAACTATCACCATATTTTACTTTATACAAAGGAGGTTAACAACATTGCATTGCAGTTTCACAAAAACAAGGTACTGTTTTTTTGTTTTTTTTTATCAGTTATCATTTGGAGAATTTATGCCTTGGGCCACAATTTTGTGTGCCTACCATGACAGGATATGACCTCTATCAAAAAGTTCCTTTCCAAGTTCTGTAATGGGTGGTCAGACTAGTACAGCAGCTGAATGGCCGCAAACTTGGAACATACTTGGCTAGAACTGGGTCAGGGAAGGGTCATTAGTTCTTTTTTTTGTTTTTTATATTACTAATTTTATTGTTTACTACTTCTTCCTCGTGAGTTCCAATACCTAACACCAAAAAATACATTTTCTAACGTCTGTTTTTTTTTTTTTGTATCTATTATTCCTTGCCCAATTATTCTAATTTGTTGAAAAGCTGCTGACATGTAAAGGATGTGCCCAGTCATTAATAATAGACAATAAATGGGATAAGGGGAACCTCTAGTGGAAATATGAACTGCGGTGCTTGGACAGGACTCTACTGCTGGTGGCTATCATTACGTCTGAACGACACCTTATTGGAAATAAAATAAAAAAAGGCAAATTGAAGAACAAAAACTTAGTGAAGTTGCCTATGCAAGAGAGGTATCCGGCAAAATGTTTCAGGAGCTAAAAATTATTTCATGTGAATATGCAGCATAGAATCTGCAAGAGAAGCTTTGTCTCTGGCACGCTCTAATTGCCTTTTGTTGTGCTTTGGCTGCGCGTGCTCGCAGGACGCCGAAGTGTTAAGGCTGGTTCACACTGTTGCAACCGACTACGACCGAGTCCGACAAAACCTGTTTTTAAGCCTCTTGTGCGGTCTACGATCGTGCCGCGCAGCAGCAGTGGCAAGCAGCTTAGAACCCTGTTTTGTTGGACGCGGTCATAGTCGGTTGCAACAGTGTGAACCAGCCTTTACAGAACATAGAAATCTCACACTGGAGACAAAGGTTCTATTGCAGACCTTATGCTAAAAGATATTATAGGTTAGTAGCTTTTTTTTTTTGTTTATTAATCCTACTATACTTTCTACATTCTCTTGTTGCAGTGGAACTGCAGATGACAAGGCACTTCTTGAGTATGCCGCCCACATTGAACAGCTCTGCCCCGGCATGTTGACATCCGGAACTATCTACACTCAGCTTCGCGATAAGAAAGGCAGTTGGAGCTCAAGAGTAATGGGCCGGTACCTCCTGTGCACCGACGACGGGACCAATCCCTGCCATCTCCTCCAAGACCTCTCGATCTGGAACGAATTCCTCCGGGTACTGGACGTGGAGCTCAAAGAAGTGGCACCTGGAAGGCTCGGTGTTGTGACCCTACTGGGCATTTACCCGTGGGCAGACTGGATTGACTCTGACCGTCAGCACCCTTACATCTTGCTTCATTGGCTTCTCAAGGAGCATCGCTGCATCAAGACGCTCGAGTTCAAGCAGGCAGTCATTCCAGGGGAGCCCCAGCTTCTTTGTGATGCTTTGTGCGCGAGCTCTCAACTGACACGCTTCAAGCTGAGTGATTTTGGCTATCTCGGGGTTACCTCAACGCAGGTGGTCACTGCACTCTCGGCCTTGACCGACCTTGTAGAGCTCGAGCTGACGCATGTGCACGTCTCACATGATGTATTGACACAACTCATGAAGACCCTCGAAGGGATGAGGTCCTTGAAGTCCCTCGCCTTTTATTTCAATGTCATGACTCCCGATGATTCCCAGTACTTTCTAGAAGAATTGAGCAAGAATCGGGCTATCACGGCTCTGCGCATTGACGCATGCTGTTTTGTACCCGGGGAAGGCAAAGTGTTTGAGGAGTATCTTGCAAAGAATGCAGTATTGGAAGATCTAACCGTTGAACATGTGAATGAAACTTACAATTATCACACGACGTTCAACTTGGAGCCTCTGTCCAGGGCTTTAGAGAAAAACAAAACTCTTAAGAAATTGGGTCTTATGAGTTTTGACCCACAACATGGAAGGCATAAGCTCTTTTTTGATGCTTTGGCCAAGAACAGCACACTGCAGCACCTGGAAGTGGACAGTCTTCCTCATTGGGGCTTCAGAGTGGAGATGTTTGTTGACCTGATTGAGAAGAACACTGGTCTCTTGAAACTGTATGTTCTGAGTTCCAGTGGCTGTTCTGTCGCTTCGTTAGCGGCTGCTATCAGTCGAAATGCGACATTGCAAAAGCTTGCCATACATTTGTCTGACCTCACCCATGAAAATGCAACGCTGCTCCTGGAGGCATTGGCAAGCAACAAGAGCCTCGAGTGGGTTTATATTGGTCATGTCTATGGACCAGTGATTCCAGAATTCTGCAGGATCTTGCAAGAGACAGGGACTGAAGCAAGGGTAAAATTTTGTGCATCTATTGACGAGCCTGGTCGCCTAGCAAGGACGCTGAAGGACTGCCCAAGGCTGTCGGAGGTCAGTTATGACCTAAGTGGCTCCTTTAAACTAAGCGTAAAAGAAGAAGAAGGATTTCGCCGGTTCATCTCTTGCCAGCAACTCGTTGAGCTATCTATCTGCTTGGACCACCATAAGATTAGCAGCAAGTCTGCTTGGTTCTTGGCTAGCTTTCTAAGCTCAACAAAGAATCTGAAAGTGATCAACCTCAGTATCTGTACTTCTGCACAGACCACACACATCCTTCTGGACGGCCTCTCTCGCAACCGAAGCATCTCTGAGATGTCGCTCGAGTATTTTTCTTTCTGGCAGAACCACGTTCGCCTGTTTAAGAATATGTTAGAAGGTAACCTAGTACTAAGGGACTTGAGCCTGACATCATCGGAGGACGACGCGTCACTGTCTGTGCTCAGGGAGCTGCCACAGTGTCTTGTCAAAAACTACTCCCTTCTCAAAGTGAGCATGAACAAATGCCTTAGGTTTGAGAGATGCATGTTTCAAGTCCAGGACACCATGCGGAGGAACTTGTCATTTTTGAATCGTGCTGCAGAGTTTGTCATGGGGCTGCACAGCAAGCATTCTGCTCACGCATTTGAACATCTTTGTCAGAGTGAGGCCCTGCTTACAAAGGTGCAAGAACTTGCCTGTGGAACAGAGCTTGATGCCAGGCACAAAATCAAGGAAAGTGCAGCTTACCTCGATATCAACTTTCTGACCATAGTAGGTGTTGTTAAGGAGGGTGTGGCCTGTGACAGGGACAGTGTACACTGTGCACAAGTGCAGTTTGACCAACTAGGAGTCGACAACTGGCTAAAGATCCGCTCATATTTGAGGGTCTCTGATATCCATGACCGTGAAGCCGCAGAGAGCTTACCTGATTCACCTCCACTGAAGCAGAAGCGAAAGTCATAATGGTGCTTGTTCTTGACCAAACACATACCTGTGTCGGTTTGTCTTCTTGCTCACACGTATCATTTGACTTTTTTATTCATGCATTAGCTGTCAGCTTAGACAAGAATAGACATCCTTCATTGAACTTGTCACAAAATGTTTCAATAAACTCATTGTCATTTGTTTTACTTGTATTTCTTGACGAGTGATGTTTGCTACTGAAAGGAAAATTAAGCTTGACCACCTGCTACTACTTCGTGGGATGAATAAATTAATTGGATTGAAGATCACCCTCCCTTGGCCTTGCACACCTGTTTACTTTGCACAGAGATTCTGAGGGGGGGTTTGGATGTCCTGACGCCTCTCTTTAATTCTGCATGTGTAAAACTTTAGGGCGTGAAAACGGGGGGGGGGGGGGGGGGGGGGGGGTGAAACATGTACGCTGACCAGCACCTAAACCCCCCCCCTCTGGAAATACCTGAGTCCGCCCTTGACTCTGCATACATATCACAGTGGCTGATTTTTCTCCATTTTCCTTCCCCTTTCCTTTATCCCCCTTTCTTTCCTTTCTCTCTACTTTCTTTCATGGGGAATTAGTTCAGAATTCCTGCTAGAACAACCTCCCCTACTTCTCTCACGTCACCTCTCTCTCTCTGATTTCGGTTGATGTTCTTATCCTGATATGCAAGGTACAATTTGTTTCGGTTTTTTTGCATCTCGGACAATAACATCTCATGGATGTTTCCAAAATTTCCATGTCCGGAATTATGTTGTAAAGTAGGTAAAGATATTTCAATCGATAAATCTAAATAAAGAGCACATAAGTAGAGTCTAGTTGATAAGTTACTGGTAATGTGGGTCCCCATCCAAAATATCGGATGACTTTTTTTGTGTCCCCAGACTTCCCACCCATGCTATGCACAAAGAGTGCGTAGCATAGCCTTGAGCTCTTCAGCAAGTAATTATTATCTAGGCTGAGAAAAATAAATGTTTCTCTTATTTATAATTTGGGTAAAGGTTCAAAAAACAACACTGACAGGGGGTGCCTCTTGCTTGAACTAGTATTCACCTCTTTCAGCCTTCAGGAGAACTAGTGCCTTTGTCGGAGACTTTGTTTGGGGATTTTTTGGTGGGAAACTCAAAAAAATAAAGTGCCATTAGCAAGGGTTGGGGAGAAATTTCTTTGTGTGAACTTGGGTGCAAACGATAGGCCACAAAGGGCACAAAAGTGATGTTTTTACAAGCTCAATGGTGCCAACAGATCTAGTGTGTGCTCGTTGATGCCACGCTCACGCAGCTTCATACCGAAAAACTCTGAAACCGGACATTGGGAAACTGGTGGATTAGGGTTGCCCAATACTAAAACGGAGTTTTAGTCAAGCGTCCCGATAACGGTATCCAGCCGGCTGCCGGTGCCTTTACGCGTGCATTGTATCGTTATCGAAGCTCAAAAGCTATCTACTAAAATTGCCGGGTTGCTACTGTACGGAGTAAACACCTTTGTGCCTCCTTTCTGTGAATTCGTAATAGACTTGTTAGTGGCACCCTCCGCGACGCCGAAAGGAATGACGGGAACTCGAGGTACAACCGGCTGTGGCAGACGACATAGGTGACCTTGGAGATGGTGGCGAGCAGATGAAGAGCTGCACTAGCCTCTCGTTCTCTTCAATGTCATGGGGGACAAGGAACTAAAGTGTACAACACTTAGCGCGGCGTTTTAAGATATTTGGGAAAGGTAAATTCGGATGTCTGGGAAATGGGTTGGTTTTATAAATATTGCTGAAAGCCTAGGGACATGCGGTGTCTTTTTAAAGTGAAACTAAGGAAACAGAATAGTAGATTTTGAAAACTTGTATCAATGTGGTGAGAATATGTGGGGGATGGTCGAACGTGCATGTACTAAAACGCTTGAGCCGCTAAAATGACCGCTCATTTGTCGGGAGGTCGGTGGCCGATAGAGCACTATATAGCTCCTGCGGAGCAGAGTAGCGCAATCCTTTGAACCCCGTGTTTTGCCGACAACATGGCCGACAGAGCGGCTCGGCGCGAGTCACGTGGTACTCAGGGTTCCAGGAGGCGGCCCGCCCTATGGGAGAATACATGGAGATCGACATAACACGGCTGATTAAAAAACTAACGGCGAGTTCACATTTTTCAAAACTAGCCTGTCGTGAAGTTAGTAAAGCGCTAAACACTTTATCAAAGTTTTAATAATATCGGATGCGTGTGTAAATTTTGAGAAGGCAATTTCCAAGGCAATGGCGTTTGAAGCAGACGATTTTTGCTCGCAGCGGAGATGGGCTTTTCGGGTTGGCCGGAGCGGGTCACGTGAATGGTGTGACGTCGCCGTGTCGTCTGCTGCATGATGCCGCTCAGGCAATTTTTTAAAAAAAGTTACGTCCTTGTATGGCACAAAACTTATCGCATATTATTCTAAAACGTTTCATTATTATGTCAAAAATGATTTCCATTCCGCACATCCCCACAAAACTGAAGAAACAACGATTTTCTCACGTTCTCCATGCATTTCTGACCGCAGTTGGAACCTCCAGGCGTTCGCCGCTTGTCGCCGAGAGACGGCGTTCTAGATTGCGCTACTCTGCTCCGAAGGAGCTATACACGTTTGCAAGTCCGGCTTCAGGGCGCTGCCATCTTGCCTGTCTGGGGTGCGCTTGGACCAGTCATAATCCGATTACGAAGCCTTGCTAAGGCGTCGTAATCGGATTATGGGCGCTCCCGAGAGCGCACCCCACTGAGGAAGATGGCGGCGCCCTGAGACCGGACTTGCAAACGTGTATATAGTGCTCTAGTGGCCGAAGCGCAAGCGCACCGCAGCTCGGACCGCGTGGAGCGAAAGCTCGCGCTACAGTACCCAGAACCCCTGCCTGATGAAAGTCGTACCGGCGTGCGGTCGTGTATCCCTAAAGCATGATGCACGTTGAATCAATACGACCTAAAAGACAAGGCCTGCGCATGACGTTTCGTTAGTAGATCCCCGACCCGCCCCAAGCGGCAAACACCCCGAAGCTTGACGAGAGTATATATGGGCCATACATAATTAAACAGCGCACAAGGAGAGGGACAGAAAAGGAAGACAGAACAGCGCTTGCCTGTTCTGTCTTCCTTTTCTGTCCCTCTCCTTGTGCGCTGTTTAATTATGTATAGCAACCACCAACTAGCCCAAGTATCCACCATATATGGGCCGCTTCAGAATCAGAACTACGGCTGCGTTCCAAATCTTACCCAAACGGATCCGAGTTACTCCGACGGGTCGTGTCACGTGACAAGACAGATATTGAAAAACGCTGGACGCGGGTAGGTTTTAGAACGCCAAGGTATAAACACCTTATCTTGGAGCTCTTGGAGTAAGATCGAGTAAATTTTGGAACACAGCCAACTACGTCGCGTTCACTTGCGGCCGCAGCTGCGTGTGCGTCTGCTGAGCGCGCTGAGCGCGAGCTGATAGCGAGCTTGCAGGTCATTTGTAACGTGCACACGTGCATGCGAACACTCCCTCGGCCAGTAGCGCCGGCTAGCACGCGCTCCTGGCTTTGGGACGAGCATTTCTCGAGCGTTCGCTCGTTCTGCCGAAGAACGCTTCAAAGCAGCCACCTCGAGCTCTCGTGCTTCTGGCATTGGCTGCGTTCTCTGCTTAGGAATGAACGGAGTATGAACTAGAGCACTGCACGGGCCCGGGCCAGCCCAAAAGCCCGAGCCCGGCCCGGCCCGCGGGCCTGGCTCGGGCCGGGTAGCACGTATTTTCTCGGGCCCGGGCCGGGCTCGGGCTTGAACAAAAAAATTCTCGGGCCGTGCCTGGGCAATCTTGTGCCGTAAATCATAAATTGTTGTTGATAGCAAGAATTTTGCTCATTAATCTTTTAAGTTCAATGAATACAAAAAAAAAAAAAAAGCGAAGTGCAAATTCATTACAGCGTCGTTAAAAATAATAACTAAAAGAGGTCTTAAAGCTAGAAACCCTTCAAGCTTTTTCCGTGTGAGCGAGGGTTCAGTGTTATAAATTGTAAACAAAATAAAGTCCCAGTCATATGCTTGTCAACCTGTCTGATTCATCGCTCTCAAAAATATCTAGTTCACTATTAGGAAGATTTAGAAAAACGTACGCAAGCGCTTTGGGTACCGTAAAGATAGCGTTGCGATGTAAAACCTATGGCGATGCTAATTTTAGTTTGCCCGAAGTGCTTGAGTACGTTATTCTAAGACTCTTGCACAGAGCGCGACACTATATATTAGCGCGAACAAGCGATCGTCGTGTTTTTATGTTTATCTCATAGAATCAAAAGGCTGTTTTCAAAACTATTAGTGTCTTTAGAAGTGCTCATCTGGGCCACAGACCTAAGCGGTATACTTTGGTGCCTACTAACACCATTTCGAAGTAAAATTCGAAAAAAGAGCCAACGTCGTGTTCGCGGTATCAGTGTCGCGCAGTGTGCAATCCGTTTCGCGCTTGCACGTTTTGGGAACCATCTTGAAAAAAAAAAACGCTTTAAGGGGTTAAGTAGGAATATATTAAACTTAAGATTGCCTGAAAGGGTTGTATATTTTAAGAACGCGTTGACATGTAAAGCTGCTTCAAAAGGTGCGCAGACCAGGCTTAGAACGATGGAGACTTTTTGCGAAGAGGTTGCGATGTGCAGGGCCTTATAAAAGTAGGTTGAAACGGGACGCGATCAAACGCAAAGGGTGTTTCGGAAACTGGTTCAAATAAGAAGGGCGTTTAGGGAATAGGTCGAAACAGGACAAATTCAAACGAGAAGGGCGTTTAGGGAACTGATCGAAACGGGACGGGTTCGTATGGGAAGGGCGTTTAAAGAATGGGTCGAAACAGGGCGAGTTCAAATGGGGAGCTCGTTTCGGGAACGGGTCGAAACGGGACCGGTTCAAATGGGAATGGGTCGTTTCGGGCTACAGCCATCGGGCCGGGTCGGGCAGGGCCTAGAAATTAAAAATTCTGTCGGGCTCGGGCCGTCCCGCGTCATTTTCAATCGTTTCGGATAATAAAATAAAATATGATTTTGATGTGTCAGTGCCCCCCTAAAAGGGATACTTCAACGAAATTTGAAATATTCCCGTCGTGTTCAAAAATAGGTTAAATGAGATTCGCACGTTTGTATCTTGAGCCTGGTGGCTGTATTTTTCGTTATAAACGGCCAACTCTGGCAAGC